ATCAGCTGTTGGAGTGGAACCCTGTACAGGTAGGCTCTACTTTTCAGCAGGCACAAGATTCATGTCCACTTCTAGCTGATTGCGTATGTCGCATACTCTTTTTCTACTGCAAGGCTAAAACAGTCCAGCTAGCTCTGACAACTTAAAAGAAAACTATGGTGCCATGTACTTACCTAATCCAGTGTGTTTCACACTTTGGAGAAGGTAATCTCATAGCTACTAAATACAGTGAGGGAGCAATAGCTGACTCACCTCAAGTACAAAATCAAATCGATAATGTACCTCGGCTGGAGACTGTACTTTTCGCAGGCGGAGATACCATGTACCGGCGCTCACTAGCTCTTTATGGCCTGAGCTAAATCAAACTAAAAGGGAAGCGGCTTTTTCTCTACAGAGACCTATAAAAGAATCAAACGACACTCGCGTAACAAAGAACTAAAAATTCAAGACCGCACAAATTGCAATGAATTAAGATGCCTTGCAAAATGCAAGGAGCGTACGGAATAATCTTCTCGTGACGTGGTCTCGACCGCTTTCATTCACAGACAAAATAAACTGCATCAAAAGGACTCTCTTTCACATTCACATCAAAACACAAGAAGGAGATACCGGCAAATGTATGTACAAAAATCTTGCACTACAATTGCAAATCATGAAATGACTTAATCATCAACCATGACTGGTTGTCCATTAGAGGTCACTTCATAAGAGCGGTGGTGATAGATATCATCAGTTCTGTAAAACTGTCCATACCTATCTACATGCTAAAGCATATAAACCTGGAATGCAGGAGTATCTTCTTTGATAGAAAGTTTCTCCTCATTGCAAACCAGAATTTATTAAAACTTCAGCCTGGCAACTTAAAGTCAAGCCTGGAAGCAAAGTATCAACTGTAACCAGAAGTCTCTTCACTTCCTAGCCATCATTTAAATCTCAGCCTTCGCTCAGGAATTATGCCGCTGCAAACGGTGAAGTTGCTTGATCAGAAGTTGGCGGCCTTCCTTTCTTTCTATTCTGCTTCTGTCTCTCCTTCCTCCGCACGTTCGCCTCATGAAGCGTTGCTCCCATGCGATACTGTCTTCTATCTCCAGATGAAAAGGAAGCTGGTCTGAGTGAAATAAACATTGGACCATGACTGTCCTCGTCAGTGGGCCTTGAGCACATAACCTCCGTGTCAATCATAGCAAAGTTCTCTGAAAAATTACAGATGAACTCCTTCGTACTCACTGTGGAATTTTCATATTCCTCTTCACTCATTGAATGACCCCATTCAACAATGGTAGACAAACATGTATCGCCAAGCTGTGATCCTTGGTATTCTTCTTTTTCAACAGTAGAGTATTCTTCCCAGAGTTTATCAAAGTAAACTTCACACTTCTTGAGGACCTGTGAAGTAGAACTGTAAAATGTTCTGGGAATAGGTGCTTTGATACCAGGATCTGCTTTGACACGAGCTTCTGAAAACCTGCGGATCCAATGCTGCATGGTGCTGTAATAGTAGTTAGCCATTGGCTGCCTTTTGTACCCAGACATTCTGTAGGCCAAACTATTTGCATCACCAGAAATGATGTCCACCTCATAGACAAAACACTCGTAAAGCATCAATGCTGTCTGTTCTCCTGTCAGTAGGTGGGCATCCACAGCACGGTGTGTATCAACATGATAATTACAGACTCTGATGGTATGCATGTTCGCTCGAGTAAGTGGAACACGCTTGTCCTCAGGACCATAGTCATCAAATTCAAAGTCTGCATCCTTGAAATCTTGACGAGGCCTTGTTTCTCCAAAACAAATCTCGTAGATAGCCCAAGTTACATCACGCTGTTCACAGTGACCAAGATCTTGGTCATGTCCAGCAATGATCTTGACATATCCACCTGGTGCCAATCTAGCCATCACTGCAAGATTCTCCCAATCATTGAAACAAACTGTCCAATTCTTTTGCTCAATAAATTCCTTGGCAGGAACAAGAAGATGAGCTTCCTGGAGAATCACGACATGTGCACGTAAAAAGAAGAGCATGTTGAAGAAAAGGTTGTTCTCAAATTGCTCATTCTGAAGTGACATGGCGCTCTGTTTGCGTGGCCTCATTGCACTATCAAGTCCTTGGAGAAACCTTGGTGTGGTGTACTTCTGACCACGAACCATGTTGCCATAGTTCCAGGATAGAAATGTCAAGGACTCTGAGCTGGCCAATAAATTAGTTCCATATGGTTCTTCTATTCTTCCCTTGAGGAACCTTCTGCACAGCTCTTCATAGAAGGTGACAAAGTCCCAACTGGGTCCCTTGGGACCATATGATTCCAGTTCCTTCTTGAGTTCCTTTTTCGTATCCTCCAATTCTTCTCGAGCATGACCTGCCCTTTCAAGGGCCTTTGGATCGACCTGATACCTGCCATCCAAATAAATGATGCGGTCATCATTGATGAACAATCTCTTCAAATCATGCTCTGGTTCATGTTCATAACAATCAGGTGGAGGTACTGGACAGATATTGCGAATGGATCGAACAAAATCATTCTCGTTGATCCTTGACTGATAATGAGGATGGGAAATCTCACCTTTTCTGAAACAAACATGATTCAGCAATCTTGCATGAGTTTCCCTGAAGCATAGTTGATAAAAGCCAATACCTGGATCTCCTGTAAGCTCTCCAAGCAACTTTAAAGGTGAAGTGTGCAACTCATAGGTATTGTCAACTTTTGTTGTATCCTTTTCAACAACTACTTCAGATGGAAAAGATTCTTGGATTTCAGCCTCCAATTTCTTCTCTCCATCATCCTCTCTGACCTCTTTTATTTTCTCCACCGCCTCTTTCTTCTCTTCCATGGTTGCATCATCCTGAACTTCTTCATGAAAATGAGGATCAGGAATCTTATTCAGGCGGCTCTTCTTAGATTTCCGCTGACCTGAAGTATCATCAAGGTTAGCATCCATCTCACCTGATGGTAAGTGCGATGCAGTCGAGTCCTCACCTATCTCTCTTGACAGAAAGTGTGGTGTTGACTCTTCCTTGGCTTCCTCCTGGTCCACTTCCATCTTTAGTTCCTCTGAAGGAAAAACACCTGCATCTTCATCAAATATTTCTTGTTCCTTTCCAGGTTCAACTGCAGGATCTTCTTCAGGAACTTCCTCTTCCATATTCTCATCTTCTAGAAGTGTCCTACTTCCAGTATAGACTTCACCAGCGATAGTGGAGACTCTTGTATAAGGAGGAACTTCTTCACCTGCTTCAAAAGCTTGTTCTGCAACATCCTTGGTGAGCAAGTCCTCTACAAGATTTTCTCCCTCGGTTCTTGGAAGAGGTCCTGAGGTCTCATAAAAATCTGTCCTCTCTGAACTGAAAGCTTCTGTCGCCTTCTCATTGTCCTTTTGATCCCTGAACAGGTGAGTAATCTTCACAGCTTCTCCCTGTAGCACCTGATCACCTCCTCTATACTTGTCGACAATGGAGCGCCATACGGGAACATCATCATCATCAAAATCAAGCCCCATATCATCTGCCAACAGGTATGAGATGTTTTGAGCTGCCTGTTCTTCTTCTTCATCACGTTCCTTGGCAAGCTCCTCATCCTTCTGGATCTTGAAGATACCCTTCAGGATGTCTTGTAGTACCTTTAAGTTCAGCTTCGATGATGGCTCATACGTCCCTGAACTTACAGGCTCAACTACAACACGAGAGCAAGAAATCGCCTCCAAAAACTTGGAATTGTATTGGCGTTCAAACTCTTCCTTCTTGATCATCTCATACAAGGGATCAGAAACTGCAACACGCGCCTGAACATACTCACGAAGTTGATAGCATGCATGTTGCACAAATCTACTGTTGGAGTTGTGAAGAAAACTCTCTAAATGATTCCTGTCACGGTCAATCAAATACCACACAATCCTTGCAGAAAAACGGAATTTCTTGAAGTTCATAGCAAAATGTGTATGATACTTCTCTGGATTCCTTTCTGCTTGTAAGGCGGCCTCTGAAGTCTTGTAAGCTGGGAGATTTGTGTCTGGATCCAAAATCATAACTCTTCCCACAAGATCGAGTGGTCAAGAACCCACTTGGGAAGCACCTTGATGAAAAAGTCACAAACAAGTTCTGACACAAGGTGCATGACACGACCAATCTCTTCCTCCTGCTTGAAGCGATAGTGCAGTT